AGGCTCTACTAAAGCGACAAGGCCCATACGTTGGCCAAATAAAGCTAATTACTATCTTATTTACGGTTTTCACACAGTTTCCCATTTTTTCAGAAGTTATGTGAAGAAATGAAGACTAGTTTCTATTCATATTATAGTGGGCTATTCTCTTCTCCCAAGAGAAATAGGACTGAATTCCAAAGAAGACAGATACAGCATCTTCGATTTCACCGGAAATGGCAAATTCCTTATCCGTCGATAGCTGCTTGAGGCTCTCAAAAAGGGCACAGTCGCAAGGGTCGCGGTCACCGGAAATAGAAAGGAAACTGTGTTCCCTAACTCTCTTCGACCCAAATTGCGTGAAGTTCAGGACGTGTGGCAAAGCGCTATTATGCAGAAATCATGGTCAAAAATTCTTCTCACGCGTTTTTCTCCGATTTCAGTGGCGAGTTTCATGGAGCTGAGTGCTACGATGGTAACCGTAACTACCTGCCCTCGAAGACACAGTTACCATAAATGGTTTCTGAGATTATTTCTTATGATAACGCTCAAGGATAGCACAAGGGGGTTGTATGGGCTCCAGAGCCCCAGGCCCCCACCTCCCTTGACTAATACACCCAACAACGAATGAGTTCTCGCGACGTTGTGGAGGCTCTACTATTCGCACCATCCCTCTAAAACCAATTATCCAAAAATTGAATCTCGTATCTCTTAAGAAACCAGTAAAGATGGATCATTCTCTTTGAGTCCAAAATGCACAACAGGATAACTTTTTTCGAGCGAGGAATCTGTATGATCGACTTCCCCTTTCAAAAGGCGGGCAGCCTACCTTTGTTACAATAGGAATCATCTTCCGTCTCTGGGCCCTGCAGAAACTCCTTTCCACTAATGGCTAATTGAGACTTGCGTTTGACGAAGAGAGTCGGTCACTTGGCGCAATTCATCGAGCAAGAACTCCGTCGTAGCAGTGTTTGTGATTTGTCGAACAAAGTTGCTCTTATCACACAAGAGATTCCACAAATTCCTTGTTTTTAGCCTCCGGCTTTTTCTTTACTTAACTGAAAAGTCGGGCATCATCAATAGCGACTAGTCGCCCAGCCGAGGATCATCGTCGAGCGTCATATCTTCAGAATGAAAGCGAGCTAGTGGAGAACAAGCGATCGCATGAATGGCGAGGTTTTCCCCAAATGCATTATATATGTTGGAGTCAGCGGAACGAGCACTGGAGACCATAGTTTGCGAGGAAACTTATTTGATTACTCTTCTTCTTCTTCTTCTCCCTAGCGTTAATCCCGCGCCGTCGCAGGGTCCGTTGTTCTTGTCAGCCGTCTCCACTTCATTTTATCTACGGCATCTGCGGCCGTCACCTTGACTTCGGCGAGGTCCTTCTTGATCATGTCCCGCCATCTCTTCTTTGGGCTCCTCGTGGTCGCTTACCTTGAGCCTACTCCATTGCCTCCCTTATCGGATGACTCTGCGGTCTTCTTAGTACATGCACGAACCATTGCAGGCGCTGCTCCCTCACCTTCAGTTGAACTGGGGCTGTTTTCATAGCCGTCCTGACGTCTTCATTTCTGACCCGATCCAGCCGGCCAACACTCACTGCTGTAGAGCATAGTGGGCCTTACCACTGCCCGATAAACCTTTCCTTTGAGAGTCATGGAGCACCGACGGTCACAGAGGATAGCAGTGGACTCTCTCCACTTCATCCACGCCGCATTTATTCAGGAATAAACGGCCTGATCCACGCTACCATCGGCGGCTAGATCGCACCCCAGGTAGCGGAAGTCCTGGACCTTCTCGATGGCTACCCCGCGACCGTCGACGATTAACTCCTTGCCTTCCTCGGAGCTGAGGAACTTTTCTTCACGTTCAGCCAGAGTTCATTCTCCGCCAACACCCTCTGCCATTCCTGGAGCTTGTCCTGGAGTTCTTCCTTGCTCTCCGCTATCAGAGCGATGTCATCAGAATAGAGGATGGTTTTCAGTGGTCCATCCATGAGTTCTTCCACGATGCCATCCATCGTGAGCAGGAAGAGGAACGGGCTTAGAGCTGGTCCCTAGTGTACCCAACGTGACATCTACTGCTCCGGTTTCGCCTGTGGGGAGCGTATTGTTGTCGTGGAGCCATCGTATATGTCCTTCACCAGAGAGATCAGGTGTTCTGGAACGTTTCGTTTTCAGAGCGCTCTCCA